GGTGCAATGTGATGTGGATGGCGACTGCTGCCCTGGCGACTGCTGCTTTGATCAAAAACATAGAGAAAAGATAAAATTAGAAACAAAATTTTTTTTTTAGAAATATTTTTTTAGTTTTAGAAAAATCCTGTCAGATAAAAAAATCATGAAAATGAAAAAAAATTCAAAATGTCATCTTTGTCACCAAATTAGAGCATTTTGAGATTTTGTTTTAAAAATTGTTTTTCAGTAGATTTCTATTTTAAATGATGATATGTATTATTTTAAATAAGGCGGTTTATAACTTTTAGGGGGCGGGGAAAGTGTCCTGAGATGTATGTACACGCCCCTGGAGCACATTAGTTCTCAACAAGTGCCAGTCTCCTGTGGTCCAGCATCACTGCTGCTGCTGCTGCTGCTGCTGCAGCTGCAGACAAACCCAACAAAATAACGACGTCCAACATCGTCGTCCGACTGACTCAGAGCAAAAGGAACTCCGGATGAAGCAGCTCACGTGTCACGTGACGGATCTCCTTTCTGCTGTGGAGGTAGTGAGGAGCTGGTGACGCTGGTTCTACTGGACTTAAACCTCAGTCAGGTCTTTACGAGACGCACGGCAGTATTTACCACGTAATAAAAAAAAACCCGCACAGGACGTGGTGTGTAGTGCGGGGCTGATGGACCGGCGGGCGGAGGTTTGCGTGACGCTGCGCGTCTTTCGCTCTTCGTCCTGTCGTTTTCGTGGATTGTCCGGGTTTTGTTTCCTGTCTGACTTTTCCAAAGAGCCACGGATCCTCGCGCTGCTCCTTTTCTGCTGACTGTGCGTGAGAGATGGCGACCGAACCGCTCCACCAGCGTTCAGACCGCACGATTGCACCTGGTGGTTCTGGTCGGTCATGACAGTTTTACGCCACAGGTGAACGAGGACCGGAGCGGTTTTTCACAGCACCATCAGTTCTGAGTGTTTGGAGGTTCCTGCTGCCGTCACTGCTGGGATTATGGATCTGAAAGTGGAAGCCCAGGAGTTGGACCCTCACCAGCCTCCGCCCATTCAAGTTTTTGCGCACAGCTCGAGCCTCCACGGGATCTCTCACATCTTCAGCCACGAGCGCTTCTGCGTCAGGCGCTGCCTCTGGGTGCTGTTCTTCGTGGGCTCACTGACCTTCCTGATGTTCGTCTGCGTGGACCGCGTTCACTTCTACCTGGAGTACCCGCACGTGACCAAGCTGGACGAGGTCGCGACCCCGACTATGACGTTCCCCGCCGTCACTTTTTGTAACCTGAACTCGTTTCGCTTCAGTCGAGTGACGCGCAATGACCTGTACCACGCGG